CTGCAATGACAGGCTGTTGTTCGTTCTAGCTTCACAGTCAAGTGACAGTCAAGATGGACAGTCAAGTGACAATTCTGCAATATGTTTCAAATCATCATAATGTCTCTTCATCATAACCTCTTTTTTACCCTTCCATTTGGCAAAGTTGCATGCAGCGTGGGAAAAAGAAGGAGCAGGGTTGAAGATGCTGGTTGTATTTCGAATGATCCAGCTGAGTGGATGTTACACAATTAAACTTTCAAAGTCTGAGTATTACTTGCTATAAAAAGAACATTGTTTCATCAGATGTAATGGGCCTTGAAATACCAATTGTGAGCTAAGACAAAACGACTACAAAATTCTTGCCTTGTATACAAATAAAAACATAAAAAATATTACAAGTTGAGTCTTCTTTATCCTGAATTCTGAAATACAGTTGGCCCTCCATTTTCACAGGGAATTCATTCCGGACACCCACTCCCCTGCAAAAACAGCGATTCACAAATATTCAAGTCCCATAGGCTTGAATGGGGCACACCCCATTGATTGAAGTGGAGGTCGCACTTCCGTGAATATGCAGAGCCACGGAGTTCAAGTCCACGAGAACGGAGGGGCGACTGTACTCCAAAATGGTCCATGTGGGTGGCTGAGATAGTGACACCATCACTTTCTGGTGGTTCAGTTTACACACATGTTGTTTCATGCACAAAATTATTTAGAATATTGTGTATAAAATTACTTTCAGGCTATGCGTATAAGGTACAGTCGGCCCTCCATATCCACGGATATTTTATCCATGGATTTGGGCATCTATGGCTTGAAAATATTCAAAAATATATAATTTCCAAAAAGCAAACCTTGATTTTGCCATTTTTCCCCCTTAAATTTTATTATTAAAAGATACAAAGAAGAACACAAAAAAAGGATACAAGAAAAGAATACAAGAAAAGAATACAAGACAAGGAAAAAGAAAACATAACACAAAATATACACTATAGAACAATAACAATAACATACAATATTCATACCAAACCTATGCCCCCTAATGTCCCCCTCCCCCCTTCCCCTTAACCTATCTACCTATTACCTAACAAGACTTTGCTCTCACACAACCCATCCATCCAATAAAACAAACCCACAGATTAAAAATATGTAAACGAAAACTTCCTAAGTTTTAGCTGGGGATCAAACATTATTCCAATCATAATCAAT